CAAAAAATATTACCACGATCGCACAAATGATAAATTGAAAAGCAACTGGCACTGGCTGCTACATCGAATTTCATTTATTTCGATTAATTGACGAATGGTTAACGAAGTGAAAAGCAGCCTTTCGTAGAAATGTAGAATTTTTTGTAGAATTTTTATAGCTGCTGCAAAGGCTGCGTAAGTCTCAAGACCAAAGAATTCGTCTTATTTCTCTTTTTTCGGGAGCGTTTCCTTGAAAGGAACCGCTATTTGAGCCGTTTATTTTGAAAGTGGCATTAGTCACTTTGTTTTTAAGTCGATATATTTAAGGGTTTGCGTTTTAACACGTTTAAAAATATGGATGCTAACTTTCGAGAAGATTTACTTGTATTTGTTACCTCAAGATACTGATATATTTTTCTCAGTATAAATAATTTCGTATAAACATTAAAAAATCACCACTTTTCATTACGGTAAAGTGACTTATGCCACTTTCAAAATAAACGGCTCATTTTATCGACAGTTTCAAAAGCCCATGTAATCGGAAGCAGAACATATCGGAATTCGGCGAAAGATCAACCGGCGATTGCGAACGCATCGCCAGCAGCGTGCGCAGTCCCACAATTTCGAAGGAAGAAGGAAAAGACGAAACAATCTGTAGCGGAAGAAGCGGAAGGAACGCAAGATTTCCGCGATTCACGAGCACTCGGGAAACGGGCGGACTGCGACCAGTTCGGAATCGGTCGTTAACGAACGCGACACCTCGCCGGACAAATGTTAATTTAACGAGACGCTAAGTGGCCCGCGGACGCAGTGTTGCGGAACACGATCCCCAAAATCGACGCGTTCATTTGGCGCGTCGGCCGAGCGATAAATTCATTTAACGCCTGGGCGTAAAGCACCCTCGTTTGTCGAACGGCGTGTCCGATTTTATTCCGCACGCGGCGCGGCGCGGAGCGGTGCGGCGAGGCGCGGCGCGGTTATCAAGGATCTCATTTGTTCCGGCGATGGTTTACGACGTTTTCCATCGGTTCGAGGGTCGTGCACGCCGAGCCACAGTTATTTTATAATCGAGCCGCGATCAAGCGGAATCACTTTCGGACTACCGGCAGGAATTTACGACCAACAGCCATAAAATCGTCCATGAAGCGACGCGCCTCCGCGCCGGTCGTCGGGAGCCGGGGTGGGAACCGGCCGACCGGATCGCGTTTTATTGTCTTTATATATAATTGGGACACTTTTTGCACCGTTCCCGGCCAGAGGTCCCTCGAACTATTCCTTGTCTGGACGTCCGATGAATCGCTGGAATTGCGGCCGCGATAAGTCTCGTCGTTTCTCTCCGGCCCGTTCGGAACGGCTCGCGACGCGCTTATGGTTGCCCGACACGCTGAAAAATTACTCCCGCCGATATGTCCGACTCGACTGGTCACGAAGCTACGACAAACGGCACCGACTTTTCGCGGAAATATTTTCCACCCGATTTCACCGGCCAGATACCGCGAAGCGTGATACTGTGCGATCTTTCTCTTCCTTCTTAATTGCCGCACAATACCAGCTTTACGGAAACCGTAAAAATTGTTGAAATGTAGATAGTCCCTACATGCACTAATCGCGGCATCTAGTTGTAATTAGGCGATACGATAAACGAGGCAACGCCGAGCCTCGTGTGTGAAACCTTTCGTATTAATGTCTTTCTCCCTGCTCAAGCAGCCACAGTGTGAACACGTGCGTATTGCAATAAGCAGACTGCGGATCTTTGTGCAAAATCAAAGTTTGTTGCACCGGTTGTAAGAGACAGGTGCCAGATATACGCTCGATCTTTGTTTTAATAATTTTAACGAGTTGGAAACAGTGCATCGCTGCTCTTCAATTAGTTTAATTTGCCTTACTTCTTAAATTGCTATCACTCGTTTTTCTCACAAATGCATAAAATCCGCAGTCTAATAATAAGAGTGAAATTGATATAGTCCAGAAGCGGGTTTGTTCATTATAAAATTACAAGCAAAAATGACCGATCGCTAATTGTTTAACTTACGATTACTCAGATTGTAAAGATACATTTATGAGTTATTTCAGCCGAGATCTTATTTATGAGCTATTTCATTATATTTATCTGTTACTCGCGGCAAATGTTATAATAACACGAGTTTAAAATCAGAATAGATGTCTTCTTGTTACTTTTATGAACTAATAGGAATCAGCTGATTTTCGTGCTCTAATAAATCTAATAAATCTAGCGTTAATCTCGCTTAACACTTCGCCGCTTGATTCCAAGTTGTGTTTGAATATTTATAAGGTTTTTTACGAGTGTCTGTGCAATGAGATGCGAATTCAGCGGAATTGATAGCACATTTTCTCCAGAGAAAATCTCTTTGCAGCGAGATTGATGCAAAGACCGAGACTCGAACATCGTCGCTGAATTCTTCTTCGAGTTCTCTCGCAGAAATGCGAATTCGCCGTGCAACGTGCGAACAACCGGGCATAAAAATTGTGTAAAACGCGGCTCCGAGCGACAATTCGCGAATCCCTTAGAGGACCGTGATCCAGCCAAGGACACTCTCGACCCCGAATTCGAACTACTCATTAAGCGGAGAAGCTTTTAACACCCGAAGCCCGGCGAACTTTCCCGTTGTCGGGCAAGAAAGATCCAAACACTCTCGGCCGGTGGATCCGATTTAAAAAAAGAAAGGAGCTCGGCGAACTACTCGAAGCCGGGTTCAACTCCTCCAAAACGGAATTCATTAAGGTACAAAGGGATCTCGGTCGGTCTGGAGCGCGCAACCCTTTCCCGAAGACTCGACGATCTTTCCGAAGTGCATAGAATCGGGGGACGTAGTATCGCGTCATCGACTAATCGCTCCAATCGAATGGCAACTGATGTCTTTGCAGAAAGAGTAGAGAAAGAGAGAGAGAGAGAGAGAGAGAGAGAAAGGAAGAGAGAGATGGAAAAACTGATCTTTTTGTAGGAAGAGTAGAAAAGAGAGAAAGAGAGAGAAAGAGAGAAAGAAACTGATATTTTTGGTATCTTTTTGGAGTAGGAAAAGAGAGGAAGAAAGAGAGAGCGAGAGAAGGGAAAACTGATGTCTTTGGAGAAAGAGTAGAGAAAGCGGGAGTGGGAAGGGTGAGAAACGCAGCTGGTCCACTTTGTTCCGGCCGTCGTACAGTCGGGACAATAAAGAATTCACAAGAATCCAGTCTCGGCTCTCGCGGTTCGAGGACGCAAATACGTGTAATTGGCAGTGGTGAAACAAGGGCGGGATGGAAGGGGTTGCCGGAGGGATAATTGGGCCGGATGGTAAACGGGGGTGTGCTTTCAAACATCGGTATTAAAACCATGGGAACACGTGGTGCTCTCCGCGATCTCTCCTCTTTCTTTGCGCGCGCTCTCTTTCTCTCTCCGCGAGCGTTTCCTCCCTTTCTGGCCGTTGAATCGGGCTGGTTCCGACCCGCTCCTACTGGCCGGGCTCTTCGGCAACCCTCGAATCGAACAGGTTAGTCGAGGGAGTTGCATTATTTGCCGAGCAATGAGAATAATGGCCGGGTTCCTTCGGTGTGCAAACATTTGCCAGAGCTTTCGAGGATCGCGACCCGCGAATATCGCGCGGAGATTGTTCGCGGCTTGCCTCGTTAGGTTTCCTCTCTCTCTCTCTCTCTCTCTCTCTTGCTCTCTCTTTTTCTCTCTCTTTTTCTCGCTCTTTCTCTCAACGACGCACACGGTTGGAATTCTTCAGCGTTTCGCCTTCCGGCTGTCTAATTGATCCTCGGACACGCGGCTGCGCGTCGCGACGCCCGGCGATCTTTGTTCGTCGGATGGACGCTCGGGAACCGTTTTCCTTTTCGAGAGCCGAATAAATAACTCGCCGGCCCCTTTAAATTGGCCCCGATTTCAGCTGGTCTCGCCGAAACGCCGGAACACGTGGCCCAAGAAACAACAAAAGAAATATCTTCGTGTTCCGGTGAAGTATTGCGGACACGCTGATTCGATAAGAAGTTCGGTCGTACTTAATCGTTCGGGAACCTAACGCTTGCCACGGATTTTTATGCAGAGTCGTTGTGTCGAAATTATACATAATTACCCGCGAACTACTTTCCGAACGACTCAATATACAGTGGCTCGCAGAAGTTTTGAAACGCAATAACTTTTTTCGAACTGGACTAAAACCTTTAGAACTCGATTTGAACTTTTTTAGATGATGGCGGGATTACTCTGGACAATGGCTAAAATGCTTTTCATAATTTCGCTATTACTTCGAATGACAAAAAAAAAATAGAGAAGTCTTGTTTCATAATTTCTTTATTTGAGCCCATAACGAAAATTTAGAAAACGCCTTTCGTAGATCTCGGCTGCAGATTTCTTGCAAAATTGCAGGCTCAAACATAAAAAGTTAAAAAGCGAGAGATTTTCTTTTGTTTACGAAAAGCAAGTTTTTCTTTTCTTAAGGAAAGAATACTAAGAAGGCATATGAATCGATTTGTCGTTTTCTCGGTAAAGTTGTCGTTCCTCACTATGTGTACGCGTTTTGGTTTAAAAGCAGCGATTTTTTTCGAAATTGATTCGAAATGGAATTCATTTAAAGATGTCTCGAGGTCAGAGAAAGTGGGAGCGATTAATCTAACTAAAAGATTCGTTCCACTTTCTCAGAAAATAAATCTAAAATGACGGCGCAAAGTTTGGATAATTCACCCGATAAAACTAACGATCCCTAAGCTCTTCCAACGGCAGCACAGAGTTTCGTATCCGCGACTTATTAATTTTCCTCGAGAATACAAGAAACCCCGGCGAGCCAGGTCGAGTCGACAAAAAGTCTCTCTCGAATCAATGGAACAAGGTTCGAACACCTCGGCCGGGTTGATTAAAGGGGAAAAATGCGAGCCGAGTCGCCCATGATCCACGGAACGGATAAAACATAGCGGGGAATCTGATGTCGAGCATTCCTGGGATCGGCGGGGGGAGGGTGCGTATGATAAGGGACGGGAGGAATGGAGGCAAGAAGGCGCAATTAAGAAGTTCAGAGATTACTCACCGAGTGCTCCGGCAGCGAGCCGCATGGTGACGGGTAGCTCGGACCCGGTCACTTCCGACAGCTTCCTCTTCCTGGGCCTGCCCTTCTGCACCGTGCCGGAAGAGGTGATCGGGCTCTGCTCCGCGGCGCTGTAATACGCCGGAACCGGCGACACCCCCGGCGAGCCGAGGTCCTCGATGCTCCCGGTTGCGCTCCCGTAATCCCCCGCGCAGCAGAGCAACTCATAGTGAGGTCTTGGGACCGACCAGCTCGTCATTCGTGAACCTTGCTGTCGAGTATTTCAGTGGCGACCCTGCGTTATCCTCCGAGTTCGATGAACGAGCGAACGCGGCTCTCTCGCGAGCGAGAGGAGACAGACTAATGGCCGGGACACGGTTTCCGCTCGATCGGATCGACGGATCGGGTCGGACCTCGACGCTCTACGCCCTACGCTCTAACCTGATCCACGGTGGAAGAAGAAAGGTGCTTCGGCTAATGTACCTCCGCTACAAAGTTCTTGTTGCCGTTGTCAACGCGTTGCCGTGACTAAAAATAAATCTAAACTCAACGAAGAAAACTCGATAGCTAGAACTTGAATTTCTCTCTTTGAAAATAAGAACCCCTCTTTTTAAGAACCTCCACGCGCAAAAGTTTTCACGCACACAGCCTGAACCGTGTTGCGTGAAGTAGGATCTTCGAGGAATCCTCGATAAATCGTGTATAACGTGTGTCAAAAGCTCGTACGGCTCTATAATACTACTACTAATAATAATAACTTATTTACTCATGTACACGGGTAGAGAAGCCCTTTGTTACAGAAGAAGTAAGGACAAGAAGATTTTACATAGCAATCGCGCGAGTACAAACAAGGAGAAAAAAGAAAAAATTTGAACGAGCGTTATTGTAACATTTGCCCCGAGTAACACGTAGTGAATAAATAACTCATAAATGTATCTTTGCAATCCGAATAATCTTAAATTAAAATATTAATAATAATAATAGTAATAATAATGATAATAATAATAATAATATAAAAACGTATTCATTTAACGTGATGAACCCTTCGTTACGCGTAAAGAAAGAATACGAAAACATGAAAAATATTATAACAAACGATATGTATATGATATGGCATAAAGTAAGAGAAATCCATGTATCCGAAGATAAAAGCGCGATGATAAGCGCAAGACACGGCGTATCCGCGCGTAAAGCTGTGTTTTTAAAGGTACGCTCTAAAGGTGTTCTACATGTATCGCGTGTCTTCCTCGATTTTCTTCTAGATCCTGAAAGTAGTTATCGACGAGCGGTGCATTCTAGTAATCTCGTTGAGTAGCAGTAATTGGACCAGATCCATTCGCGTGGTTAAGAAAGCTAATCGCGGCGAGGAGAGGACAGTATTTCTCGGCGGTTTATAGTTTGATACCTCTATCACGGCCGATACGGAACGACGCGTTCGACAATGTATCCTCCGGACAGATCCCCGCGTCTCGGAATTAACCGGTGCCATTTGTACGTCCCTTATTTGTCCGCGGGCCCCCATCAAGATCCGTCCTGGACGTGGATTAATAAACGTACGCGGCGTCCAGTGATAAGAGCCGGTGCAGCACACCGATCCCATCGATCCGGCCGCGCGGGAAGCGGCACCGCGACGTCTTTTCCTTTGCGAGGACGCGCCTCGGCCTCGGTCCCGAGCCCCGGCTTTCTCAGAATTCTAAAGACCGGATTCACCCGCGCCCGAGGGCTATCATTATCGCGGCGAGAACGGAAAAGATAATAAGCGCGGTGCGCGGTGCACGCGCGACAACGGGACGCGGAGAGCGCGACTCGTGTTTTCTGTCACTCTCGTCATCAAACTCGTTGATAACAAAGAGACGGCCTTTGGAGGATGGTAATTCCGGCTCGTGTTTCTCACCTACAGTAAACCAGGCCGTCCCTCTGCCCGAAATGATCGCCTTTGTTCAGCGGGGTGCCGCAGGAGGCGCACGTGAAGCAGGCGACATGGTACACCAGGTCTCTGGCGCGCATCACCAGCTCCGACGCCGAGATTCCCGCTCGGCAACGCGAACACCTCGAGACGGCGAATAACCTGCGAACAGAAGGGCCCAGGGTAACGCGCAGAAACGATTCGGCCCTGGAAAGTATGCTCGGCGAAACGGATCTTTGGATGTTTGTGACGATGGTTGCTGCTCGCCATTCGTTTCGAGACACCTGTTTGATGCACCAAAAATATTCTCTGTGTTTAGTATACATGTGAGAATATGTGTGTGTGTGTATTAACACACAATGTATGGGAGAAATATTAATACCATTTTAAAAAGTCTGTTTTTTAAAATTTCATTACATATTTGAAAGAAATCTGTGAAAACCTAAAAACCCTCGTTATGTACTTGTTATCAAAATCTTATTGTCAATTTTGCAAACGTTAAATGAATTTTAAAATGCGAATTTCTTTCAAAATTCGCTGATTTTCACCCGTTAGACGTAAGTCAAAGTGACTGGTTTCTAATTCCTTCTTTTACAGTTCTTGATTATTACTGCTCGTGGTGCTCCTTGTGAGCTTCGAGCTTTGTAGAAGTTTGCACGTGGTGTGCCGTCCGAATAATATGGTTTTTCTGTGTCTTGTGAGTCCCTTATGGTCTCGTGTCCAGTGAGTCCCTTGTGGTCTCGTGTGTAGTGAGTCCCTTGTGGTCTCGTGTCCAGTGAGTCCCTTGTGGTCTCGTGTGTAGTGAGTCCCTTGTGGTCTCGTGTCCGGTGAGTCCCTTGTGACCTCGTGTGTAGTAAGTCCCTTGTGGCCTCGTGTGTAGCGAGTCCCTTGTGGTCTCGTGTGTGCTGAACCGTTGACGCTGACGAGGTTCTTCTCCTGACTAGGTTGTCTTGTCTCTACTCTTGTCTGTCTACTAGAGGATCGGAGTCATGCCTAATATCACCTCGGTCCTCCCTACTTCTCTTGACCTAGGGTGGGCGGCAAGGAATTACGGTCCAATCACTGCAATCCCAAATCCTGTGAGACTGCCCCAAAACGGTGGGCCGGGAGTTAGGAGGGAGAGTGGCAAAATAACTCCTACTAGACATCCCGCGCTGATGGGCCTACGTGCCCGAACAATGCCAGACCCAACCGCAATTGACTGGACCGTAATCAAGGACCAGGAGACGTTATGACGGTGCCGCATGTGCCCGGGAACGGCCCGGGACAGACCCATACCGTCCGGGTACCCAAGCACATGGCCCCTGCCATAAATCCTGGCCACTTGGCCGTAACATGATACTATAAAAATGTTTATGTTAGAGAATTTGTATATGAACTTCTTTATTCAAGCAGATATTGTAATAAAAATCGTAGGAGTTTAAATAAATCCAATCTTGTCATTATTATAAAGCAGTATTATTGGTCGCATTTAAGGCTGATAGTCTTAGTGTTAGTGCTCTGAACAAAGTCAAAATATATCATGATTGGACTCTAGAGAGGCGCAGAGGCGGATTTTATGCATTTATGTCAAAAGTGAATAGATCAAATACGAAAATGTAATAATATTACAAGAATTTGAGGATACTGTTACATTATTATCAATTTCTTACGATTATTAAAAGGAGAAATATATTTTTATCTAATTTATGTACCGCAAAATTAATTCATCACTAAATACATCATCACTAAACAGCTGATCTTTATGCAAAATAATTAATTAATCAATTCATTAAGTTAAAAATAATATAACACTGTTCATAAAACCTCCAACCATTTTCATTGTTCCGCGTTTCGTCTATTCATACCTCTCACAACTGCATAAAATCCGCTAAAATCTAATCGTCGCGATCGCCCTAGCGAATTCCTCAAGCGTTTTCCACCGGCAGAGACGACACAATCCGCGGTGGCAGAACGATGAAAATTTCAAGCTCCGTTTATTGTTAGATATCCAGCACGGAGAGCGGTGGGGACCTCGACAATGGGATACCATAGCGGGTACGTCGTCCCGGTATCTAACCACCAATCAAACCGTTTCAATTCTCCGGTTAGCCGGGGCGCAGCACGGGTAGCCTCTCGGGTTCAGCCGTCGCGTCGTTCCGGGTTCCTTCAAGGCGGCTACCCGATCACGCGTTCTTCGTAGAATCCCCTAATTACAAAATCAACGATCCCGATCGTCGCTCGAATTCATCGATCCCGGGGCCTCTCTTCCCCGTTCTCGCGCGCACGTGACCCCCGTTGTTCGTGACCATCCGCTCGGACCAAAATCGGAGAACAATGCCCGTTCTCCCCCGGCCGCCTCCGTCGCGTTTTTCTTCCACCGATACACCATAACCCTGCCGAGCGTAGGCGTGCGGGGAGGTTGGATAAGGAGGGTGAGCCACGGCGTGAGGAGGCGAGGCAGGGAGGAGGGGACGGTTGTTCCTCGCGGGCTCTGATATCGGACGTCGACGATCAAGCCGGCGTTACAGTTTCCGAAGCGCGAAAACCAAATAGAGACAAAGGGGTTGGCCTGGATATGGATCGTTGCATATTGCATGGGAAGCCCGACTGTATTCTTCTCTAACGAACTGCCAGCCGTTCCAGCCTCGAGGAATACCGGTCCTACGTGTGTTACACCCTCGCTCGGAATCCTATGTCTCTAGCATGCCACCGAGCGAGGGGGACCATGCTCTATGGGCCACTCGAGACAACGCTGCTGGTCAAATGTACGCTGCTAAAAAAAAAAAATGGCAGCATCGACAAATCTTGGATAAAGATTGGCCAACTTCGACTCACGATTGCTGCACGGAAAATCATCGTAGTATGATGATTTTTCTCGGAAATTAAAGCTCGAAACTTCTGCTTTAAGATACTGTTCTTCGATTTTAAGTTGGACACACCCTTGCCGCTCTAAACATTTCAATGCGAAGCCGTGTTTGTCGTATCGAAAATTGCCAAGTTCGACGAAATGCAGGGACTTCGTCAAATTTTGTTCAGAGGTGCCATTTACAACGTAATGTAGTTAAATCTTTCCGTTTTAATTTAAAAAATGGGAAACGTGGCTGCGATTTTTTTCGCAAAGTTGCAGCGCTCTAAAGTAACCCTAACTATAACATAATTTGTAGAAACATAAATTTGATTTATTTATTGCGCATGGGTTTTGTCGCAATGATCAATAAATCGAATTATGTCTCAAACTGTCGCATAAATATTCTGACGGCAAAGGAATCACGTTAATTTTTTGTATAATCTTGCACGTTTCATTGCTATGTTTGTTAATCGTTCCGTTAAATTATTTCGCGTAACCTCTTAAGAATATTAATGCACGTCACTGTGTGATAAAAGCTTGCAACCGGTGCTCCAGTCGTTAGCGCATCTCTAATTCGTCGGAAAAAGAGAACCTTTCAATTTTCCGTCGGTAACGACACGCTAAACGCAGTGTCCTTTCGATGGACTTAACCCTCATTCCCCTCGTGGCCTTTAATTATATCGTTTCGGTAAAGCTCGGAACGTGGCGTTGAGTAGGCGACGATTACAGCTCGTCGAGTTTGGGAACCCGATCTTTTTTACCATCGAAGGAATAACGAAAGGAGTGACATCTAATGTTAAGGCATGTCCACATTTGAGCGGGTTCGAATCACAGTGGCGTAAGTCACATTATCTTCATTGTGAGAAGCGAGCAGTGTCATCGTTTACTCAAACGTGTATTATTTAAAGGTCAAATTCATTATTAAAAAAGACAATTTAGTTAAGTTAATATAGAGTTAGATTAATTTGGAGTTAAGTTAATATATAGTTAAATTAATTTAGTTAAGTTAATATATAGTTAAATTAATTTAGAGTTAAGTTAATATATAGTTAAATTAATTTAGAGTTAAGTTAATATAGAGTTAAATTAATTTAGAGTTAAGTTAAATAGAGTTAAATTAATTTAGAGTTAAGTTAATATAGAGTTAAATTAATTTAAAGTTAAGTTAATATATAGTTAAATTAATTTAGAGTTAAATTAATTTAAAGTTAAGTTAATTTAGAGTTAACTTAATTTCGAGAAAACCATTTACAGCGATATCATTCTAACTGATTCATTAGTTACCTTGTTGCCATTACATGGCGTTTGATCGATGATATATATTACAATGTATACTTAAATAAAGAAATCTACCTAAAAATTTTTTTATAATATCCGTAACTGAACAAGAAAAATTCAGAAACCAGTCACTTCGTTAGCAAAATCTGTAACTTCCCGCCGTTAGATCTTCGCATTTAGTTGACTTTGCACCCGCGAAATTGAAAATGCCTGCGTTAACACTTCGTGTAGAACAAGATCAGGCTCTGTTGTTGCCGCGAACGGCACAAGCTCCACCGGCCCCGTGGACGGGGTATGCAAACATTTCTTAATCTTCGGTGACGCGTATTCCGTTTTTCGTTTTTCGTTAATTAATTCGCGCGAGGTTGTCGCGCAGCCGCCCAGTCGGAGGGCTCGGTCACGTTTATTCACCGGCCGCCGGTAATATTTTCGAAGTGAATAATTCATACGCGGGATTGAATATTTAACGTTCCCCGTCGAAGCTCGTCAATTTAACAATTTCAATCCGCTTAACGCGGCCGGCGGAGGGAGAAAGGAGGACGCCGGGAACGGGAAAGAGACGGAAACGGGTTCTCACGCTTTTGAGGACTCCCGGGGAATTATGCAACGCGTGCTCCTCCGCCTCGGCCGTCCCTGTTAACTGTGCTCTGGATTTCAACGAGAACACCGTTTCCACAAGCAGAAACACAACAACGTCCTCGCCGCGGCCGTGTAATTTATCCTGACCCACCCACTCCGGCGCGTGTCACTTAATTAATTTCATTCATCGGGACTCCGCATTTTAATATCTTAAACCACCAGCGGGGCACCGTGCACGTTGTTTCTCAGTGCGAACGAACTGTTACGACAAAATGACGCGACAAAATGACGCGTGAACATCCACGAGAACAGTTCGCCTCGATCTGCTCGGCTTCGCTTTACGTTTCACTCGAGTGCAAATCATTTTCGCCGATGTTTCGCACCGCGAGTGACACTTTTCTTCGGCGTTCAGATCGATGACCTTCCTTCGAGCATTAAGCTTTGCGATTGTAATAATATTTCTGTGCAGGTGCGT